CTTTCCTCTCTTAGCTCTTTCTCTTTTTTTCCTGTAAAAAGCATTTTTGGAATTATTTCCTTTTTTGAGAGAGCGGCGTTTGTTTGTGTGGGAAGAGAAGCTTTGAAAAAGGAAAGATAATTATTTTCATTGACTATTTTTTACTTCTATTTACTTTGGGGTCTTGAAAAAATTCTTATTATTGAACTTCATTACTGGATTTTGTTTATATGTGAAGAATACTATTTTTCCCTGATTTTTTAAATGTTATTTTTGGTGTCTGGGAAGAGATTTTACAATCTACTGAGGACATCTTGTGGAGAAATGTAAAATTGCAACTGTTTTTTTTTTTTTGTTTGATGCTGAGGTTGGTTTTGACCTTCAGATTATCATAAAAGGGAAAAGACAAAGAAATTCAACAGCTATTAAATCTGTGGGGGTGGACATTGGCTAACTGTTATTAAACATAGCCTCCAATAAAAGATAATAGGATTGTTTCTAGTAACTATTGAAATGGAGAAACCCTATTTACAACTTAACTCTAAACTTATATTGGAAAAAATCCATGAAGCCACTGAGCAAATATGCATTAAAATAAAAGAGATTACTACAGAAATAAAAAACAGAAACCCAGCTTTGAATCTACAAACTGACCTCCAGACTTCATTTAACTATCCTACAGACCATAAAACAACAGAAGAGGAATCAATCAACATTAAAGAAGATTCTATGCCATTTTACATTCAACCTATTGAGACTTCTGATGATCAAAAAGTGACTTTAACTAAACCATATACAATTTCAAAAGTAACAGGAATGGATGTGCAAACACAATTTATTGAGAACTATGACAATTTTGATAACCAGCTACTAACCACAAAACTGGACATAATTGAGTGTCTTATTCAGCAGAATCAAATGTCTAGACTTGAACATTTAAAGCAACAAGGGATCAATTACGAAGGAGTCAGGTTCCTAAAACAGAGGACGGGACGTTTTTTCTTGACTCAAATGATATTACGAGGAATAAAGAGATATTTATTTGTTGATATAGAGGCTCTGTTATGGAAACCTGCTTGGCCCAAAAAGAAAGCTAGAATAAGATTCAAGAGTGTGATCTAAAATTGTATGCAATGGGTTAAAAAGGCTTTTTAGACACGGATTGACTTAAGGTTTAAGATTTAGAATTATAAGTGGGTGGAAAATTTCTGGTTAGTAGAATATATATCTGAGATATAGATTGTATTTTTTGAATTAATCTGTTCACTTTATGTATGATAATTTTTTTTATTTGAAGGAGGATAAGAAAAAGGATTGTATTAATAGAAAATATGGTATTAGTAAATGAGAAGATACTAGAACAAGAATAGAATATCTTTGGGAAATATAAGAATGCAATTGTGGGAATAATATGGGTTTTTTGGGGGGTTTCTAGATATAATTATTATGTTAGGAATAGAGGGAATTTATGGATACCGAAGTTTAAATAATAAGCACCCCAGAATCCTCAAAAAGAGGGTAGAACCCCCAAAAGAGGGGGGCTTATGTACGGCTGGCAAGAACCCTTCCGCCCAGCTCTGGTCAATGGTGGGAAATTATTCAAGGAAACAAACACATGTTTTCACACACACACACACACACACACACTCCCTTGGGCAAGCCTGTGCAGTAAAGCAATATATGCTTATCTTATCTTCAGCCCTCCTGAGTATGCAGGAACCGAGTGAAGGCAACCACCACACACACACAAAAGTTCCTGTTTAAAAAAACCATAGTGAAGAGTCAAGAAGGGGGGGCGCCTCCAGGAAATCCCAGAGCATGCTTGGCACCTTCCCCTTCCTGAGCCTCCCTAGGACCAGCACCTCTCCTGCGCTAAAGCTCGCCAAAAATGATATGCAGGTTCTGAGGTGTTGCTGGTTAAAGAAATACAGGAAACTAGAAGTTGCCTTCAAGTTTACGTGTTTATTCAGCTTAATAGAGATGGGCTTCTGTACAAAAGACCCCCAAAGCCCCAAATAGCAAAGAAAGCTTATTTTTATAGTCACTTTGATTACATAAGCAAATTCACCCAGCTAGGCTGGCACACATAAGATTAAGACTTTGCCCTTTAAGGCTGGCACACTGTAGATAAGAAAAGCAGAAGTAGCTAGTATGTTCTCTCAAGGGAGTTTCCCCAAGACTATATGTTCAGTCTTGGGTGTTCTGGGTGTTGTCCCAAGATGCCAGATGTTCTTGGGTGGATTTAGGACATTGCGTGTTTCTTTGCTGTCCTTTCATGACCCTTCATTCATAGGCCTACAAGTGACCAGAGACAGAGAAGGCCATCTGTATATTGATACTGTCCCCTGGGTCCTGGTCACCAGAGCTATAGTCAATGAAAAGCATCCTGACATAGTTTCCAGGTTTCTCTAGATGGCTCGCTACAGAATGTAAGGCAGTAGCTATGGCGTCGTCTGTTGACCTATTCCCCCTGTAGGCAAACTGATGTTTGTCAAAGTCCAATGGGAGGCATGTCCTAAGGTGTTGGAGAACCAGTCTTTCGAAGCATTTCATCACTACAGACATTAATGTGATAGGTCTGTAGTCATTTAGGCAATTAATTGCTCTTTTCTTTGGGACTGGGACAATAGTGGCTGCTTTCAAGCATGATGGAACATAAGCTGTTTGCAGGGAGATGTTAAAAAATCCTTATCAGGACCCCTGCTAATTGATCGGCACAATTCTTTACCACTATCCCCAGCACCCCATCTGGGCCTGCAGCTTTGCTGGAATTCACAGCCTTCAATACAGCTTTCACTTGATATTTGTTTAGGGTGAGTGGCTGGGAATCAGAAGGCCAGCAGGCAGAAGTTACGGGGTCTGGTCTTTTCACCTCGTAGCGAGCGAAGATGTTCAACTCCTCTACCAACAAGGCATCGGCATTGATCGTGTTCCTCGTATTGCCCTTATAGTTAGTTAGGTGCTGCAGTCCCTGCCACACTTGCTTCGGGTTATTATCTGCTAGATGGTTCTCCACCTTATGTTTATATTGTTGTTTTGCCATCTTAATGCCTCTTCTAAGGTTTGCCCTGGCCTCTCTCTATGTATCCCTGTCCCCTGCCTCAAAGGCAGAATCCCGGGCTCTCAGAAGTGTCCGTACTTCTGCGGTCATCCAGGGTTTACAATTCCCGCAGACCCTGATGCACTTTTCTGTTGTCACACTATCAGTGCACACTTTGATGTAAGGGAGTATGGCATCAGTGTACTCATGCAGGTCTTGATGTTCAAATACACTCCACTCAGTGATTTCAAAACAGTCCCGCAGCTGACTGAGAGCACCCTCTGGCCAGATTTTAACCATTTTCGTGACTGGCTGAGTTCTTTTCCTGAGAGGGACATACTTTGAGCACAACAGGAGTGAAAGATGGTCAGATGTACACAGGTGGGGGAGGGGGATTGCTCTGTATGTCTGTTTCAGATTAGAGTACACACGGTCTAAATCGTTCTTCCCTCTGGTAGAAAATTGCACATACTGCACAAACTTAGGGAGAACTGTCTTTAGACAAGCTTGATTGAGGTCCCCAGCCACAACAAGAATACCCACTGGGTGAGTTTGCTGCTGGCTGGAGATGACATCATATAGCTTAGAAAGCACCACGCTAACATTGGCATCAGGTAGAATATACACAGCTATAATAATTATCACAGTGATTTCTCTAGGCAGATAGTATGGCCTACATGTGACAGTTATTAGTTCCACATCTGGGGAACAATATGTATAGGCTGCTCTGCTGTTAACACACCAATCACTGTGTATGTAAATACAGAGTCCTTCTCCCTTGCTCTTACCAGAATCGCCATTTCTATCAGAGCGATAAATGACTCGGCTTGTCAACTCCACTGCCGCATCAGGTACAGCTGGGCGTAACCAGGTCTCCATGACAATCATCACACAGCTTTCCTGGAGAATCCTGCTTGCTGCCATCTGCAGCTCTAATTCATCCATTTTATGGATGAGGGACCTAGCGTTGCTCGAGAAAACACTTGGCAGTGCTAGTCTGTGGGGCTGTTTTCTGCTGCCACACTTTTGTTTCCGCTCCTTTCGTTTTTGCTTTCGTCAGCACCTCCCCGACTGATGACAATCCATGGAGATCCTGGAAGCCTCGCTATGCAATTAGGTATGTTGCAGGACTGCTGAAAATCACTGGCAATCCCGGATTGACTTGCAAGCCCGATGTTTAGCAGCTCTATGCGTGTGTAGGCAAATTTAACCCCTTGCACTATACTGTGCACGCAGATCCATACGTTCATTATTCCAAACACCACACAGGGCCACTGCGTGTGAACGCGCCACCATCTTGTGCTCAAAAAAATTAAGATTGGACACAAGAGCAATTCAATCTCCATAAAAACTATTGAATAAGTTGCTGTAAAAACCTGATCAATATCCTTGAGATAGGTGATTCATGCAGATACTATAGTATCCCCAAACAGAAAGAGTTTGGCAACATCCATTCAAACTACAGGGTGTCTTTCAACATTGCTGCTTTTCAGATAACTAATATAGTAAAGTGTTCTCTGGCTTTTCTCAAACAAGGAAGAGAAAGGGAATGAGCTTTTTCTCTCTCTACCTGAAACATGTCTCTAAGAATGCACTTGTATGCAGAGACATAATGGTGAAGAAAATAATACCTCTGTGACCCACAAGATTAAGAGAGATTTCATGGACATTTGGTACATCATGATTTTCAAATAAATTCTGGCATAATAACATGCTAGGGACAAATTGGATTACATAGCCCTTGATTTTTTTTAAAAAAAAAAAATCTCACGGTCAGAGGTGACCTAATTAATGTCAATTATTGTGATAATATCTTGTTGACAAAGTACAAACACTAATCATACACAGCATTAAAAGACATATTGCTATTCTTTTCCCATCAATGGAGGAAGGAAGAAAAGCAAAAAACTTCAGATAAAAGGAAACAATCAACTCCAGATCAACTAGAGAGCATCAAAGAAAAAGAACCAGCAGGACGATGATGGCAGTGGCGACATTTTTGTTTGTTTTGCTGCTTGCTCTGCTGATTCTCCTCTTCCTGAGACAACTCTGGACTCGAAGACATTTGCCTCCCGGTCCTTTGGCTCTGCCTCTCATTGGGACCTTGTGGGCTGACGGGTTTTGGCTTCATGAAGATCATTTCTGTAAGGTATTTCATTCTAAATAATCAAGCAGTATTATGGAAAATAATTTTCAGTGATTTTCTTTGTACCATTATTACAGAAAAATGTATTAGCCTAGTAAAATGTTTTTGCATGATGGAACTTGATAGCCTAAATGGCCCCGTCTAATTCTGCAGTTCTACAATGATTTTAAAAGGTTTCTGGATCTGAATTCTGAAGAATAGCATCTGTTTCATATGTAGGTGATTGAAGAATAAAGCAATAGAAAAAGTTGTTGTGCAGTCACTTCACGTGCACAAATGTGATATACATAGTATAGTAAGACCTAGATGTTGATGCTTATAAAGTTTCATTGAGTTATCTCTCCCCTTGTGGTGTGTTATCCTGCACCAAACGTTTTAGCAATGGAAGATACTTAAATTTTCGTGTTCAGAAGTAACTTTGAAGGAACACTGTGATTGCACTACTGTTGGTGGAATTATCATACTGTAGTAATATTCCTCCAATAGACACCTTCATAATTGTGTGCTAAATCAAGTTGAAACAACACTTTCTCAATAATAATTTCTATATTCTTCTTCCGGGTTCCACTATTTTATTTTTTTTTAAAAAAACAGAGGTAAAAGAATTCAGGTTGCAGCCCATCAGATGAAGAACAATACTTCAATATGGCTGTTCTTTCATCAGCCCCAGGAAGATTCAGATCATTTCTAGGTTCACCAGGGAAGTCACACTGAAGGACCCACCTGGAGTAAAAGATTTAGAAGTTGTATCCCAATGACTGAACTGACCTAATGAGCCTGTTCAGATTAGGTGAGAAATGAAACTTCTCTGGAGGACACATATGGGGTCCCCTTAACCAACTTGCTCAAACTGAAGAGGTACTTGGATAAGCAGTCAAATGTTTTGAACCAAGAAAAGAAGCCCATTTGCCAAGATGCAGCTTCCATATATCTTAGAACAGTGGTGGTGAACCTATGGCACGGGTGCCAGAGGCGGCACTCAGAGCCTTCTCTGTGGGCACGCGCACCATTGCCCCAGTCCTAGGCCTTCAGCTGGGTTTTATAAAACTTTTTCGCTTTAGGCCTCCACCGCTGTGTGCAAAAAAAAAAAAGGTTCAATCAATCAGTCAATTTCAACTTCTCGCGGGAAAAGAAATCTTGCAAAGGTGGAATTGATTGATTGCACTTTTTAGTCCCACCCAGTCTGCCGTTACCACTGCAGCCACGCCCAGCCAAAGGACCACACCCACCCGGCACCCGATGATGCATAAGTGGGTTTTGGGTTGCAGTTTGGGCACTCGGTCTCTAAAAGGTTCACCATCACTGTCTTAGAACTAAGAATTTAGGAAAGACTGTAGGTGGCATATTAACTGTAAATAATCTATTTCATTTGATTATAACATTGCTCAACATTTGCTCACTTGGCAGCATGTAAAGCAATATGGAAATATATCCACTTTGTCGGCTGGACCTAACCTTCTAGTAGTGCTGTCTGGATTCAAAACTGTGAAAGAAGGAATGACCAGCTTCCCAGAAGAATTCTCTGACCGATCAGTCGATCCTTTATTGGGTGTTTTAGGGAAAGAGAGGGGTAAGTGCAAGTAGTGAGAAATTGTACGTAAATAAGCATCACACTGTTATAATTTGTGGTACTATTATTCATAGCATGGGGGAAGGCTATGATTGATAGGCAAAAGAAAGATTGCTTACTTTACTTTAGACCAAATTATTATACATCTCCATAGCTTTCTATCTGGTCCGTTACATTCATACGTTGATTTAGACATTACTTCTTTTTCATTAAACACTTCATAGATATTAAAGCGAGTAGGAAGTAAGCAAATCAGTGCAAGGCTATTCCAAAGGATTTGCATAGAAAAGCAAAATTTGCATAATTTTATGAATTCATCATCTTTTTTAAAGTCAGTAGTGATCTGGCTTTTGGAGTCTTGTATTAGTGCAGTCATTTGGCTTTCACTTTTTCAATTTGTCAGTTAATAACTTCAATTTTTGTAATCAACTTCATGGTATTTTTTTTTTTTTTTTT